GTGGAAGGAGTTTCAGGTTCATTTCTCCATTAAGAATCTATGGAATGGATTTCAGGATGATTTCTCCATTCAGGACCTGTGGAATGGATTTCAGGTTCATTTCTCCATTCAGAACCTGTGGAAGGAATTTCAGGATGATTTCTCCATTCAGAACCTGTGGAATGGATTTCAGGATGATTTCTCCATTAAGAACCTGTGGAAGGAATTTCAGGTTCCTTTCTCCATTAAGAACCTGGGGAAGGAATTTCAGGTTCATTGTGGAAGGAATTTCAGGTTCATTTCTTCATTCAGGACCTGTGGAAGGAATTTCAGGTTCATTTCTCCATTCAGAACCCATGGAAGGAATTTCAGGTTCATATCTCCATTCAGAACCTGTGGGATGAATTTCAGGTTCATTTCTCCATTTGGAATCTGTGGAAGGAATTTCAGGTTCATTTCTCCATTCAGGATCTGTGGAAGGAATTTCAGGTTCATTTCTACATTCAGGACGTGTGGAATGAATTTCAGGATGATTTCTCCATTCAGAACCTGTGGAATGGATTTCAGGATGATTTCTCCATTAAGAACCTGTGGAAGGAATTTCAGGTTCATTTCTCCATTAAGAATCTGTGGAATGGATTTCAGGATGATTTCTCCATTAAGAATCTATGGAATGAATTTCAGGTTCCTTTCTCCATTAAGAACCTGTGGAAGGAATTTCAGGTTCATTTCTCCATTAAGAATCTGTGGAAGGAATTTCAGGTTCATTTCTCCATTCAGAACCTGTGGGATGAATTTCAGGTTCATTTCTCCATTTGGAACCTGTGGAAGGAATTTCAGGTTAATTTCTCCATTCAGGATCTGTGGAAGGAATTTCAGGTTCATTTCTCCATTCAGGACGTGTGGAATGGATTTCAGGATGATTTCTCCATTCAGAACCCATGGAATGAATTGCAGGTTCATTTCTCCATTAAGAATCTGTGGAATGGATTTCAGGATGATTTCTCCATTCAGAACCTGTGGAATGGATTTCAGGTTCATTTCCTCATT